AGTCCCACATCGGTTAGGAAGGAGAACGAAGCATGCCATATATATGGGTGTGGATACCTTCCTTGTGTGGACGCGTTTTGGGGTGGCATGAGTGCCATTGCCAGAAGCAAAACCGTGAGGGCTGCGGCCAAAGCGGACAATATCCACATGCGGGTTGCTGGGCTGTTACATTTGGTATCAGAGCCTGGACCCGGGCCGGTGTGCCAGCGAGGGCGCTGGACTCCCTTGAGGGGGGTGGATTGTGAAGTCCCACATCGGTTAGGAAGGAGAACGAAGCATGCCATATATATGGGTGTGGATACCTTCCTTGTGTGGACGCGTTTTGGGGTGGCATGAGTGCCATTGCCAGAAGCAAAACCGTGAGGGTTGCGGCCAAAGCGGACAATATCCACATGCGGGTTGCTAGGGTGTTACAAGAGGAATGATCAAGAATGGATGAATCCTTGCTTCTAGGGAATTACAAGACAAAACCCAATTGAAGAATAAAGACATTTCATGACAAAAACCCGCTAGGACAAAAACCCGTAAAAGGCGTCTTAGGAAAAAATAAAGGAATCAAAATCCCGATAGGATACGTCCTATGCAAAAGTTAGGGATACATAAAAAAAAAAAAGGAAACCCCTGCTTGAGTTGAAAACCAAAGGCGGCTCGAGGATTCCCTTTGAGAAGGAAGAATCTATAAAGATTTCACTCCAAATTCAAAACACCGCCATTCAAGCAAGTGGGAATGTGTTCCTAAAGTAGTCTGACCAATCATCAACCATGACTCTCTAAGGGGCAACCACCGTCTATCTCTCAGTGTACGAATCACGAACTCGGGGCATGCCCGGACCTTCGAGCTTTGCTAAAAGGACATGTGTAAAATGAAAGTATTGTTTTAAATGCCATAACACTATTTCATTTCTCTTCTCCCTTTAAATATTCGTTCTAGGCCTCATCCGTCAACCCTGAATAAACAAAATGTATTTGCGACAAAGATGTTACTCGATAATAGCATGGAAAGAATAACAAATGAACAATCAGGAATCCAAACATGACTAGGGTTAATAAAAATAGGGCGTCCCACACAAACGCTGCAAAAATGAAAGCCTAGAAGAAACCCACTAAGGGGGTTGTGCAAAATTAGGGCAAGATCCGTTAGGGGACTCACAATCAAAAAGGGTAACCTAGGCAAAAGTAAGGATCAAAAGAAAAATGTCTGCTAGGAAACACATCCCAAGTGACCTAGGCAAAAGTTAGGATGTTAAAGCAGCAACCTGAGTTGAAAATCGAAAGGCAGCTCCGGGGAATCATTCAATCAGAGCACGACCCCAAGTCATCACTCCACTTTCCAAAAAGGCTAAGACACAAAGATAGCTTCCTTGTAGCAAATACGTTTTGTTTGATAACCCTAAACACCAAAGCCTACCTTGGCTAGCCATTCTTCTAAAAACTCCTTTTAAAAAAAATCCCTTCTAATAAACCTTTTTTGAAAAAATACAAACATCCCCTTTCTTCTTTTCTCTTGACCCTTATGGCATTAAAATGGTACCAAAAAGATACACGAAAAATGCATAGTGAATACTCACAGAGGGAAGGCAGAGATGTCCCTGAACAGAGTCTGGAGAAGTTTGACCAGATAATTAAGGAGCCACTAAGACCTCGAGTTCAAAGGAATATATCCCGAAAATAATCAAAAAATGGCACGGACAGAAAGGAATCGTCAACATTAACCTTAACGCATACAGGTTAAATTCCCGACAAAAAATTGAATTGCATGTTTAGGAACAAACACATAAGCATAAACAGCATCGCATGCATATGAGGTAGGGGCATATGGAAGGGCGTTACACAAAAAAATGGAATAAAAAAAATCATTCCTGTCTTGCATTTTCATTGCATCCACGCATCCATGCATTCTACTTGATATAGGTCGGAAGGAGTCATCAGGACAAAGCACTCGTAAAAGCTCAATAGTCAAACATGAGCCGAAACGATGTGAAAGTATTCTATGTGCCCACTAAGCAAAGATATAACAATAGTGGAATAAAATGGAATTGACCAAATAAGAAAGCCCATAAGCAGAAAGAGGCCATCGTGCTTCACTTCTCAACAAAATGACGGATGATCTAAGAAAATGCCAAGACTAGAAATGGTTTCCTCACCAAAGCCAGGAGTGGCTTCGGAAATAATACTTATGAATAAAGATTCAACAAATAACATCATCATGGGATGGGATCCCTCCACCAATGATGACAACACAAGATCAAACAGAAAAAGGCAAGCTTCGTAAATGTTGAAAAAGCCGAAGCATTTAGAAAAATAGCAGAAAAAGGCAAGCTTCAAACATGAAAGAGCCGAAGCTAAACACAAATAAAATTCAGAAAAAACTCTATCACAAGCAAACGCCTGGAGAGGCATTACAATACTCGCATGGCAGGGGCAACACCAGAATCCTTGTCATCCATCTATTTTCCCTGCCCACCAACACAGGGGCACATCAAGTATATCCTGTCCATCCTCCTTGGGGAAGTTTCCATCACAAGTCAACAATGAGGGTACCGTCGAGTACCTCAAATCGAAGAAGGATCACCGTCGAGTATCCACCCAAGATTTCAAAGGTCCTCCTTCAAAGGACATTAACAACCATCCAAGTCGAGAGTTGCCGTCGAGCCTCTCAAATCATTAATCGACCATGAGGGCACCGTCGAGTACCTCAAGTAAGAAAAAAAAAAGGAGCGTCGTCGAGCATCCATCAAAGGATCGCGGTCCACCTTTAAAAAGGACGTCAATACTCATCTTGATTGAAGAGCCGCCGTTGAGCCTCTCAGATCAAGAATGACAGTGAGGGCACTGTCGAGTTCCTCGAAATCAAAATTGGTACCGCCGTCGAGCTCCCACCATAGGCCGGCTGAAGCCTTAAAATCAGTCCATCTTGATTGAAGAGCCGTCGTCGAGCCTCTCAGATCAAGAACGACAGCGAGGGCATCGTCGAGTTCCTTGAAGTCAAAATTAGGATCGTTGTCGAGCTCCCACCATAGGCCGGCTGAAGCCTTATAATCAGTCCATCTTAATTGAAGAGTCACCGTCGAGCCTCTCAGATCAAGAACGAAAACGAGGGCACCGTCGAGTTCCTCGAAGTCAAAATTGGGACCGTTGTCGAGCTCCCACCATAGGCTGACTGAAGCCTTAAAATCAATCAAAGAGTCGTTGTCGAGCCTCTTAGATGAAGAATTACAGCGAGGGCACCGTCGAGTTCCTCGAAGTCAAAACCGGGACCGCCGTCGAGCTGCCCTAAATACCAGTCCAGCCTGGAGAGGTTGAGCTCAGAATATACTCTATCTTCAACAAGTTACGAATAAAGGAACACACTACCATGAAGCAAGTAGAAGTAGTAGGATGCATCGACATCAAAGCTAGAAGCCTAGATGGTACAAGTTTACCATCCTTATCACCCGACGGAGCATATAAACCAACACTCAGTTGCTCTTAGGGACAAGGAAACAGGTAAACACCATCTACCCGAAGGAAATGGTGTGGGGGGATCTACACTGTTGAAGTAAAGGAGAAGATTCGGACACAGAAAGCAACATGGGGCATTCACATGGATCTTGAAGCCTAGATGTTTCGATTTACCATCCTTGACACCCAACAAAGCATACAACTCAACACTCAGTTGCTCCAAGGGGCAAGGATATAGGGAACACCGTCTACCCGAAGGAAACAATGTGGAGGCATCTAATGTCAAAACAAGAGTGAAGACTCGGATCTCCACCTCACTATTGCAAGAGAAGTAATTAGAGCCATGGCATGGAGCATCTACTCGAAGACTAAAGATCAGGTGTATAGTTTGTCACCCTTGTTACCCAATAGAGTACGCAACCCAACACTCAGCTACTCTAAAGGGCGAGGATACAAGCAAATATACCTATCGAAAGGAAGCAACGTAGAAGCGCCAGCACAAAGAGACGGAGAGAAGACCCGGACGAAATGTCTACATCTTTACTTGCCTTTGGAAAAGCAACACATAAATATTCCAAAGGACAAGTAAAGAGGGGTAGCTGTAGACACCCAATTTCGTCCGGACCCACAAAGCAATGAAATGGACGTCTATTATCAATGAAAGGAGCTCCCGAAGTATGGAAGCAACATGATATGACATCAGAGGGCCTAAAAGCCCAAACAAGTTGGTTTTAGTAGCCAGAACGGGCTGTTGCAAAATCAGAATGGATCGTTCCAATTCCATAAAAAGGCTTAAAACCTAAGTTTGGAACGAGTCGTTCCTAAACTGGAACGGGCCGTTCCAAGTTCCTAAAATGAGGCTAAAACCTGAACTAGAACAGGTCGTTCCCAAAACTGGAACGGGCCATTCCAAATACAAAAAAAGGCTAAAAACCTTAGTTTGGAACGGGTCGTTCCAACATAGTCAGTTATGTGTTAACCTCACTTTTGGAACGGGCCATTCTGTTTTCAGAACGGGCCGTTCCAAGATACAAAATTAACACATAACGTATAGATCCAGAACGGGTCGTTCCGAATCTGGAACGGGCCGTTCTGGCAACTTTTTGATGTCTATAAATAGACAACTCGGGCACAGTTCTCAGGGGCCACCAAATTTCGTCCAAGACTCCTTAGAGCTCGAAATTTCTCTCTCTCTCCTTCCTATTGTATTTCTTGAGTTTTGTGAGGCAATTGTAGTGTGAAAGGTTGCCAAAAAGCACCAAAATTTTTCATATTTGAAGATCTAACAAAGCTTGCTACGAGGTATTTCAATCAATATTCATCTCTATCTTTTATTTTTCATCTTTATCTTCTTCCCTAACTTTTATCTCTCATCTTTAATAAACATTGTTATAACAAAAGTAATCATGTAGATATTTTAGAGTCAATTGTATAATTTAAATTTTAAGCATGTAAATAAATATTAATAAAGGGGATCTAATATTTAATTTATTAATTCTTATCACGTTAACTTCATCATAGGGTACCGATTGAGGGCGTTGTAGGGGTGCTTAATACCTTCCCTACCCGACCCCCGAACCCAATTCTGGTTATCAAGGCCACTATTGGACTTTTAAAAACCTTTTCTTTTTCCAATGTTTTGAGTAAAATATTGGTGGCGACTCCATGAACTCATTTTTCAAAACCATTAATTAAGAATTAGTCTGGTGTCTGGACATTCCTTAATTGATGAGATCTTTAAAAGAATGCCTAAACCATAGGTCGTGGGATTGGAAATTTTCAGGTTGCGACAAGCATACAATTGCTTCTCCTTAAGGGTTTGAAGAACGATATTAAGGTGCTTAACATGCTCCTCCCTAGTCTTGGAATACACTAGGATATCATCTATGAAGACCACTACAAATTTATCCAAGTAAGGGTGAAAGATCCTATTCATGTAGTCCATAAAAACACCAGGTGCATTAGTCACATCAAAAGGCATAACTAAATACTCATAGTGCCCATAGCGGGTCCTAAAGGCAGTCATAGGAACATCCTCAACTCTCACTCTAATCTGATGGTATCCTGACCTTAAATCTATCTTACTGAACACACAAGCTCCAAGTAGTTGATCCATAAAGTCATATATCCTAGGCAAGGGATACTTATTCTTAATAGTCACTTTATTTAGTTGCCTATAGTCTACACATAACCTTATGCTCCCATCTTTCTTCTTAACCAATAAAACAGACGCTCCCCAAGGCGAGACACTAGGCCTAATGAATTGTTTCCCTTGCAGTTTCTCTATTTGTTTCTTAAGCTCAACTAACTCTTTAGGAGACATCCTTTAGGGTGCTATAGATATAGGTGAGGTACCTGGCACTAAGTCTATGCTAAATTCAATCTCTCTCTCAGGTGGTAAACTAGACACATTCTTAGGGAATACTTCTGGAAATTCTCTCACTAAGGGAATCTCATCTAGCTTACTATCAGTCTCAAGTGTTAAGGAAGTTAAGATCATGTACACTATTTCATTTTCTTTTAAACAAGTTTTAATGTCGGCAGCACTAAGAAATTTCGTACTCTTACATTCACCAAAGGAAATAGATTTATAAAAGCAATTTAAAAGGACATGGTGGGAAGATAACCAATCCATACCAAGAATTACATCTAATTGACTAAGAGAAAAACAAATTAAGTCAACTAGAAACTGCTTATCGAAAACTGTCAAAGGACATTTCAAACACACTAGGGATGTAGTCATAGGACCATTAGTAGGGGTTTCAACAACTAAATCAAAATTTAACAAAGACACAGGCAAATTCAATTTTTGGACACAAGAGACAGAAATAAAGGTACTTGTTCTCAGCTATGAAACAAGTACCTTATATTAGATTTTCTGACCGAGCAGCTTCAGCACCACTAAGAGAAAATACTCTCCCTATACCATTGTAGTTGAAGCAGGTAACCTCCCTGTCACGACACTCAGACTGATTATGACCAGCACGTCCACACTTCCCGCATCTTCCTGAAGGAGTGGACACAGACCCTCTAACACTTGCAGTAGCACTAACAGTGGATCATCTAGTAAATGACTTGCTTCCACTAGTAACAACTTTACTCCCTTGAAATCTAGTAAGAGCGGAGTAAGGCTTACTCCTACCCGAAGTACTAGAACTCACAGCACGGATAGGACCTCCAACTCCTTTATCTACAGCAGCACGAGTCCGATTGTCACGATCATAAATGCTGCACTTATTGACCAGAGTGGGGAAGTGATATATCTCCTGATAGTTAATTGCATTCTTCACCTCTGGACGCAGACCATTTACAAATTTTATGCATTTAGCTCTTTCACCACCCTCACCATGGTAGTGTGTACAATAACGAACTAAAGCATCAAATTTGGAAGCATACTCTGCCATTGTGTCGTTTCCTTGATTCAACTCAAGGAATTCCATTTCTTTCCGACTCCTCACATCATCTGGGAAATACTTCTCAAGAAAGACTCTCTTGAAGTTGTCCCAATTCAACTGCACCCCTCCATCAATCTCCCTTCGAAGTGCTCCTTCCCAGGAAAAGTGGGCATCAGCAGTCAACATAAAGGTGGCGAACTTCACCTTCTGAGCGAGGGGACAATCCACGACATTGAAGATCTTCTCGATCTCTGTTAGCCAATTCATAGCAGCGTCTGGGTCATATCCTCTTTTAAAGGTAGGTGGGTGATTTCACTGAAATTGCTCCAACAAGTTAGGAGTGACTCCAGCCCTATTGTTATTATTCATAGCTTGTGCTAATGCTTAAGAGCATCAACAATCGCACGATCATTTCTACCAGCCATAATCTGAGAAAATAGTATAATTAATAGACATAATCAATCATCACACTAGCATACCAATAAGTTCCACAATCAATTCAGTCCATCATTCATCTACCAAACAAGCATAGTAAACTCATAACTCACGGCCGATTGGATCGACCTGCTCTAATACCACTAAATGTGACACCGTCTACCCCAACATTACTACACAATATGTAAACAATAAATTTTTTTCTTTTTGAGTAAATAAAATCTTTCATAGTTGATAACATCTTTCATGGATAAAAAAAATTAGTTCATGAATACTATGACACCCTCTACCCCAACATTACTACACAATAAGTGTAAACAATAACTTTTTTTTCTTTTTAAGTAAATAAAATCTTTCATAGTTGATAACATCTTTCATGGATAAAACAAATGTCTCAAATATCGTAAGATAGAAGGTTCACATTCGTAACTCATAAACCATAAAAAGTCAACATATAAGTATCAAAACTCAAGAAATTATAAATAATAAAAAAATAGTAAAGGAAATATAGATTAATTCCAGTAAAGGTGGTAGTGCCTCCTAGTTAGGAATTCATTTATAACTTCCAAATCATGTAATAAAAATATAACAAAGATGCACACATTGGCCTTTCATCAAGAACATTCAAAATTACAATTTTCCACACACACTTTCTTTGGATTCAATCACTGCAACTATAGACTTTATTTACGTTATACCTTCGCTACAAATTACAAAATAAGAGAAACTAAAGCTTTTAAAACAATAACATCGTAAACTAAACCTAGTTATGCCTTGATGTCACATATCCTATCAGAGCATGCCCAACTGAAACCTTCAGCCTCATCACCAACATCCTCATGATGATGATCACCTGCAACATCATTTAAACTTGTACAAGAACAACAAGGGAGTGAGAAACATCTCACTCTAATTCAGATGTAGAAACAAATGTTAAGCAACACACACAGTCATTAAAAATACCACACAAATTACACATAACTGATCATAACTCTCAAGTTATAAATATATTAGAATACATATACATTTAATTATCATGCAATAATGCCATGGACTCGACTCATAAATGCATGCATGTGGCGCCATACGGAAGTTCACATTTCTCATCATTGGTATGCTACACAGCAACATACCTGGGCACATTCATTCATGAATACATCACTAGTGACCAAAGGTACATCTAAAATATCTCAGTACATTACTGGTATGCGGCCTAAGCGGCACACCTCGAATAAATCATTTCATCATATAGCTAGTTACATCATTGGTGACCCTAAGGCACACCTTGTTAGCTTGTTACATCAATGGTGACCCTATGGCACACCTTGTTAGCTTGTTAGATCATTGGTGACCCTAAGGTACACCTTGTTAACTTATTACATCACTGGTATGCGGCCTAAGCGGCATACCTGGAATAAGTCATTTCATCACATCATTTCATCACTGGTATGCGCCATAAGCGGCACACCTGGAGTTATATATGCATATGATGCATGTCATACATTCACTATTTCATTGACTTAACATTTCACTTATTACAGAATTTCATTCATATTCTCATAGTCATAGCTTATCTCAATAGCCCATTCTCATGTCTCATGTCATTTGTTTATATTTCACATAGTCGTGTCATAATTATTTCTCATAGGGTTCGTACAGGAATCCACAGAGCATTTTAGTTCATATGAAAATTCAAAATAACCACATATTCATTCATCATCTCCAACAAGGAACACAGCAGAATAATCATAAAGTAAAACAGAACACATTCATGTTCCTAGAAACATACATCAGGCAAGGGATTGGGGGCCAATCCGACTACCCAACAATTATTTCCACATCCCCGAGCGAAGTTTCTCACTCCCCCCTTCCCTCGATAAGCAAGAGCTGAAACTAGAGCAGAATCTTGCTAATCTCCTCCTCTGGATTCCCCTTGGTCTTTAGAAGGTTTAGAAGAAGAAGAAGTCATAAGTGAATAGTATGATTTGAACTGAAGCCTAAGCCTCCTATTTATAGGCATTCAGGGGTGGCTGGAACGGCCCATTCTCAAACCAGAACGGTCCGTTCTGGACCCATCCATTATATGCAAAATCTACAACTGCAAAGGCTCGTTCTCAAAATCAAAACGGCCCGTTTTCAAAATCAGAATGGCCCGTTCTCAAAATCAGAACGGCCCGTTCTAAGGTTCATTTTAACACATTGACCATAATTGGAACGACCCATTCCACTTTTTGGAACTCCCGTTCTACTTATGGGCACGACCCGTTCCGCTTTTTGGAACGGCCCATTCTGGGCCTAAAAAAATAAAATGAAATAAAATTTCATATAAAAATTAATTTTTTTAATAAATATTTAATATTTTTTTAAAAATCTCTAAAATGTTCTATAAAATCCCCTTAATGAAATAAGCTCCGTAAGTAAATAATAATAATTAACTATGTAGAAGATTCGAGATGTTACAAATACAACTTAAAAAGATCTTGTTATGAGAAAAATTAATAAATAAAAATACAATAGTAGTAATAAATAATAATAAAATAAATAATTTTATAATATCATAACAATATAATATATATATATATATATATA